TCATTAATTATCGTAACGCGCGTTGACAGCAAATTTTTTTGACTTTGTTGTAATTTTTGGAGTAGCATTTGAGGTCAGCTTTTAAACATCATTAACCACTGGACTCTACCAAACGAGTTGTTAGGTGACAAAGACTATGGCTTTGTTTCTTTTAGACGGTAATTAACGGAGGACAAATATCGACGTATAGGGGGATTATTGCGTGACTGTTGTCCGGTGATTTTGTACCACATGACATACAGAAGCCAATTGAGTCGCGAACATCAATGGGTGGGTTATTACCTGGGATATTTCCCACTTGTAGCTGGGATATTTTCGGTCACGAGTCACGTTTAGACCAATCGGACGCGAGCAAATATATTTGATGGATTATGGGTTCTCCCATTGACATCGACGAGTGTATTCTTTTGTTAGAGAGGTTAAGCGTTGGACCTCAAAGTAAACGGAAAACATTGAATCCCTTGCTTCTTGTTTGCACCTGTTTCAAGCCTGAAGTGAAAATATTTGCATAACTGATCTTTACAGTATGCCTCCTGCGTGTGACATGAAGTTAGTAATGGCTCAGCTTACCACAGAGTCTCTGTGATTCAGGGATAGAGCGTTGGAACTTTAATTTTTAATTCATCATGAGGTCTCCATTTTTTTCTTTGTTACACATTCGAGGCAGGAAGGAAAACATCTTTATTTGTTTCAATATTTTTATTATTCGCGAATCAGAAATTACTTTGTTGCTTTACATGATTTCAGTTCTGATGTAGGAGAGAATCAAATCAGAGCTACTTTTCGCCTTATGCAATATCCGTAAACTCTGATGCCTGGTGACTATTCGAAAAGGAAGATGTTTCTTTAAGCGATTCAAGTTTGATCTTAACAATATTGGCTGCCTTTTTGAAAAAGTCTACCACGTGCGCTATTTAAAAAGAAACCATGGAAAACTACACAACACTGCTGAGATTCTGAAAATATTACATGTAAATATAACTAATAATTATAACTATAATTGAGGTCTGACGGAGAGAGTACACTGTTCAAGTTATCTTTTAAATGGTTAATCAACAGTCTTCATGAGTTCTAGATGAGTCCATAACACTCCAGTGGTCCAAGCGTGTGATATCCTGATTCATTGTAAAGCACAAATTCACCGGTATCTCCAAATCTCATTTGAATCACGGGAAGCTTGGACTTGTCTGTTAGTAAACCGCTGTCCTCTCGCCAATTCAAATCGTTCTTATCGCAGTTGCAGCCGTAACTGCTGTCCGCGCACGTGTCAGTCAAACCGCATGCACATTTAAAGGGAACAGAGTTGACTCCACCCCAGTACTTCATCTTTTCGTCATCACGTGATACCCACCAGCCATACATGTCATCATTGCGTAAGATCACTGAATGATAGCATTCGTATTTGATAAACTGCTCACAGTGAGCAGATGAAGCTGTTAAGCTTGCTAGCTGAATTAGACTGGCTTCATTATAAGTAACATTACGCCAATAGCTACCAGGGGCTTCAAACCCAGCCACCAGTGTTCTGTTTTCACTGTCGTGACTGACAACTGTCACTCCTATCCCGCCCTTGTCAGTCATGTTACAGAAGACTTTAAATGGTTTCACTCCACCCTCTCCATCAGGGTCGATGACATAAGAGCCATTTTTAGCCTCAGGATTGCAGTATTTGATGTCACTGCAAGTTCGATTTCCTGAAAAACAAATAACAAAGCAACAAAGAAAAGATTTCATTTATCTTAATATAATAATATGCCTGACATGAACACAAAATTTATTTTCTCTTTACAGGAAATATACTTGGGGAATGTTTATCGGGGAAAAGAAGTACAATAAACCGATTTAAATTGAATTCATAGGCAAAAGTTGAAAAGAGGTAAACCATATACATACAAGAATAGTGGTTTATGACAGTATGTGACTCTTCCAGTTCTACCACATGCAACAGTAAAAGACTAAATTCAATACCTCCACATTTGTAGCGTTTGCAGTGAGTTCCGCAAAATACAGGCTTACATTCACAATGATAGGAGTTCCTTTCATATTCAGGAACACAGACACCTCCGTTCTTACAAGGAGCGCTTTCACATGGAGACTAGAAACAAAGTGAACATTCCTTGAATCCTCCAGTTTCTATTTTAAGAAATACGAACAGTGTTAAGCACCAAATATATGAAGAGATCTTACCAACGGACTGCAGTGATGGAAGGTAGCATTTGCATGAACCTTTTCAGCCTCTCTGTACTTGTCTGTGGCCAATAACTCACACAGATAAAGACCTTTGGAGTCAGGCTATGTTGAACGAATAGCACTTTGGTTCACCGATACAAAGGAAAATGCAGTCCAACTTATCTTCCACCATGGACGATGTAAGTTTCTCTTCCCATAAGAAATAGAAAGGGTCGCACTTGAATTTACCAAACGAAGCACGGCCTGTTGGATATCGATAGAGAGCGCTGTTTTGTGTGGCAAACAACAATCCTAACAAAGAAGGAAAAAATAACAAGAGTGGCAGAAGCAGCATGACAGTAGCCGATGAACTCTCACCACGGGAATGAGCTGATGTATGACACCGAAGACTTATATGCAAATGAAAAACAGGTCCTTTATAATTGCCTGTCGGTAATTAAGAATTAGTAGCCACATCTATGAAGCAGGTACCATGGGTGGGATACACTTCTACTATAGGGGAAGTAGAGGTGGGACAGTAAGTTTTAAAAAGTCATCTTAAATAAAACTCTCCTTGACAAACCTGCATGATACTTTTTAGATTTTTTTTCTTTTTTTAACAAGAATTGCTTTCAAACTGTTTTTTTTCTATTGAGGGGACGATGTCAATTAATACCTTCTATACAACGGGTTTTAAAAGTTTTAAATATTCATTTCAATATCTATTAACTCTGACCATGCTAATGATTTATTATATGGGTTTGAACCAATCTTTTGTTAATTTTAAAGGGATTTTTGGTACTCTGCTCCCTACTCTACAACAAACTTGAAAATAAGTTTCTACTTACTCCTTCACATGTCCCTGTTAGCAGGTTTGCTTTAAGAAGTTATGTTTTGGCTCACACCAGGATAACAATAAATTAAATAAATTGAGATCATAAATTGGCACCGACCACAAGTTTCTTCTTTTTAGGCGGAGCAGCTGTTTATTTAATATTTTATTATTTTTATCATGCCAAGACACTTTTCTCTTAGGAAGCTTTTTGAGAAAGAAAAAACGATTCATTTCTAATTTTTAATTGTTTTTTTTAGCAAAATTAAAAACACCAAATATCAAACTAATCTTTCATTACCTCCCGCAGTTAGTAGAAAAAAGTTGCGATGTTCTATTTACCGGATGGATTCTCTGATCATAAAGAGATACTGGGCAGATTTCCTCCTAGTGACTTAAAAGGAGCTAATCTAATTAATAAATAATAATCATTTTAAATTGGAACAAGTTCAGCACAAAGAAATTGAAGAAGTTTATTGAAGTCATGTCTTGAAAATGTTAGGAAATCCTTTACGTGGATCGGAAAACGCGCGAGCCTCGATTATGTATTTTGTTTGCAAAAAATGTCAGTCGTTTCTTCTCTGTATATTAACATTTTCAATGAAACAATATACTGGTTTCAAATATAAACATTGTGTAATTACTCATTAAATATTTCCTGTAAAAGTTTCAAATTAATATACAGATAAGAAAACTTATATTTGGGAATGTTGTTTATGGAACATGTTACAGCATTAGCAAAGAATAACATTTCACTTAGGATAAATGGTCAGATTACTCGTTTAGGATTACGTTATGTCTCATGTTTAGAAAAGGTGATGTAATGCGTTGCTTTTTATCTCTCCCTCCGAATGCACTTCATCTTTGAAATTAAGATAATCGAAAGGAGAAATTGCATAGACTTAAAACAAAATATATTTTTTCACCTAAGTAACGCCTAAGTAAATATTATCGCCGAAAACTATATGGCTAATTCAACAGAATACTTTCATAAATCAGCAGATTTAGAAATTTTGCTCAACAGTTTATTGCAAAATGCTTTATTGAAACAAAACATTGGCAGCTATATGCATAAATATATTTAATAATGACATGTACTTTGTTGGTTTGTTATCAATTAATATTCCAAATCCACTTTGATGGAAACTGGATAATTTCTTGTATAAGGAGGTAATTTAGAGTTACAAGACTTTTCAAAGTAAAGTTGATTTTTTTCCCAATTTTGACTCTTGAGGTTTAAATCTTGGGGCTAATGACGGTTGACGATGTTAGTACCCTTGACAGCTGACGTTTATTACCAGTTAAAATCCCTTTAAGTTTGTTGTTGATTTAGCACGAGTCACAAATTTTGTTTACACCTATTCAGTCTTTCTGTGACAAAGTAAACTGAATTTTAAAGACCTCCAACGATTTACTAATTAAGATATGTGCAGAGAAATGCATGCAATAACGAAAATGGCGAAAATTCGTCAAAATCATTAATTTCGCTTTGACAAATTAGATCTACCCACCCACCCTACTGATTCCCTAATGACCCCCCCTATTGAACCTTCCAAACTTCATCGGAAATGATCATAGAATAAAAACATATCGAAGAAACTTAAAGGGTATTTCAGAGCATTCGAAGAGCGGGCCATTTCATATTACTCGAAAAATAAAACGATTGATTACATTTTCAAGCTCCATGGGTAGGGGGAGTGAAGGTGACAAAGAGTATTGATTTAATTTGTCCTGAAGGTGACTGTCATGGTCACAGATCTTTAAATCCTTAACACAATACATAACATTTTGTTGTTTAGTGGTATTGAGAATTCGCGAGCACATATTGAAACGCAGAAGGCGCCAACGAGAGGTCATCGAGCTCGGTCTTATAAAATGTCTTAGCCAAATAATTTAATCACTTGCAAAATCCAAACAGAGGGAAATAAAACCCAAATATAGATGCTTTTAAGAATAATCAGGCCATTATAACAAAGATGACTATCTAATGTAGGCTTCGAATTCAAGTGCTAATATAAGACTTACAGTCATTTTCAAATTGAGCGTATTTATTGGATTCAAATAGGGGTGAAAGTTTGCAACTTGACGTCTTTAGAATCTTTTGTTTAAGATTTCCTTGGCAGACTAACTTCCAGCTTGGTCGTCTCCCTTTTGCTTTGGTTAATAAATTGTGTCATCAAATTACATCAAAGATATATTCCAACGAATTTGAAGCATTTATGAGTTTTGTAAAATGATGGCAGATTTTTCACCACAGGCAACAGCTTTCACGTCTCTTGGAATTCTCAAACGCAGTAAAAGGGAAATGTTATTTAAAAACAAATTAGTTTTGACACACAAGTATCACTATAGCAACTACTTAAAGTTAATGACCTGTATTTGAGTCCTAAATGAGTCCAAAACACTTGAGCAGTCTAACACTAAGTATGACATTCGGTAACAATTTTTTGAAAATACTTTTAACTACACATTATGAATTTCTCCATTTTTCTTACTACATTACAATCAAATTACCAATTCACTACATTTCTCTTAACTATCATGGACCTCCATTTTATTCAGGTCTGACTAAGGGAATACAATGTTCAAGTTGTCTTTTAAATGTGAATTCTAGATGAGTCCATAACACTCCAGTTTTCCAAGCGTGTGATATCCTGTTTCATCAACACCAGTATCTCCAAACCTCATTCGAATCACGGGAAGCTTGGACTTGTCCGTTAGTAAACCGCTGTCCTCTCGCCAATTGAAATCGTTCTTATCGCAGTTGCAGTCGTAACTGCTGTCTGCGCACGTGTTATTCAAACTGCATGCACATTTAAAGGGAACAGAGTTGACTCCACCCCAGTAATTCATCTTCTCGTCATCACGTGATACCCACCAGCCGAACATGTCACTATTGCGAAGGAGCCTTGAATGATAGCACTCGTATTTGATAAACTGCTCACAGTGAGAAGATGAAGCTGTTAAGTTTGCTAGCTGAATTAGACTGGTTTCATCATAAGTAACATTACGCCAATAACTACCAGGGCCATCAAACCCGTCCACCAGTGTTCTGCTTTCACTGTCGTGACTGACAACTGTCACTCCTATCCCGCCCTTGTCAGTCATGTCACAGAAGACTTTAAATGGTTTCACTCCGCCCTCTCCATCAGGGTCGATGACATAAGAGCCATTTTTAGCCTCAGGATTGCAGTATTTGATGTCACTGCAAGTTCGATTCCCTGAAAAACAAATAACAAAACAACAAAGAACATAAGAAATTTAGAAGTAAAAGATTTCATTTATCTTACTATAAAGTGCCTGACATGTACACGAAATTTATTTTCTCTTTACGGGAAATATACTTGGGGAATGTTTATTGGGGAAAAGAAGTACAATAGACCGATTTCAATTGAATTCATAGCCAAAAGTTGAAAAGAGGTAAACCATATACATACAAGAATAGTGGTTTATGACAGTATGTGACTCTTCCAGTTCTACCATATGCAACAGTAAAAGACTAAATTCAATACCTCCACGTTTGCAGCGTTTGCAGTGAGTTCCGTTAAATCCAGGCTTACATTCACAATGATAGGAGTTCCTTTCATATTCAGGAACACAGACACCTCCGTTCTTACAAGGAGCGCTTTCACATGGAGACTAGAAACAAAGTAAACATTCCTTGAATCATTCAGTTTGTATTTGAAGAAATACGAAGAGTGTTAAGCACCAAATATATGAACAGATCTTACCGACGGACTGCAGTGATGGAAGGTAGCATTTGCATGAAACTTTTCAGCCTCTCTGTACTTGTCTGTGGCCAACAAAGCACACAGATAAAGACCTTTGGAGTCAGGATACGCTGCCATGTTGAACGAATAACAATTTGGTTCACCAACACAAAGAAAAGCGCAGTCCAACTGATCTCTCATCATGGATGATGAAAGTTTCTCTGCCCACAAGTAATGGAATGGATCGCGCTTAAAGTTACCGAAAGAAAGATCGCTTGTTGGAGATCGATAGAGAGCGCTGTTTTGCATGGCAAACATCAAGTTAAACAGTAAAGGAAAAGACACTAAGAGAGGCAGGAGCAGCATGATAGTGGCCAGTGAACTTTTAACACCTGAATGCCTTGCGTCAGCCAACAGCAGCGATAAATAAAGAACAAAAAGAAAAAAAATATATAATTATTCAGAGTGATAATTTTCTAGTATGGCATTTATTAAGGGTCATGATATGGCAATTATCTAAGGAGGAGGAGCAGGTGAAACAGATGGGTTGAGTTGTGAAACACTGAGAGCGTTACAAAATTTAAAAGTATTATCTTGAACTGCCAAACGGTAAAAGACAAGGGACGCTGTAGCGTGGCGGAAGTTAGATATTTGTAGATAGTAATACGTGTGGTGAAATTTCCAAGTTCCGCTTTGTTTGATCAACTGATGGAAAGTTTCCTGTCACATGACAGGTTCAGCGGTTGTGGTTCTTTACTTAATTTGTCATTTCCAAGTTTGTACGTGAGTCAGGCAAAACCTTATATGTCAATTTGTCCGTTAACAAGAACTTTCTTGTTTCTTCTATGAATTTTAATTCATATTTAAAAATACTTAGTTAAATGTTCTGTATACTGAACAAATGTCACTCACTTGTGAAAAAAACCCATTTTCTCTTAACTGCCAGGCGGAAAAAGACAAAGGGGAAAAACGCAAAAGACATCGAAGAGTGGTGAACGTTTGTTATCTAAAGCAGGTGATACTTTTAGCTTAAAGTATCACAGATGGAAAATTAGCGCTTTCATTCAAACTGAGATAGCCTAAAATTATGCGCCCTATTCCAGTAAAAGAATACATTTTCTTAAAACTTAATAAAGAGTGATTTGAGATATGCATTGAACAGAACGGGAGCTTATTCTCTCACGCCGCGACGCTTTACAAGATAAGTTTATAGGACGACGCATTTTAATCAACACGTTTCTTTTATATCGGAACGTGATCTGCATATATTTTGAACTTGGAAAGGGTGTCCGGGATTTGTATTTTTACGATTCGTTATTTTTGGATTATTATCTTTTAAACTTGAAAGTAGCACTCTTGAGCAAAGTTTTCAATGTAGTCGCCATATCTCGAGAAATAAGGAAAAATCGAAAATCCGGGACACACTTTTGGGGTTCATTATAATTCTGACATTATCATCAAATTTCACGAAAATTGACTGAATACCAGCCAACAATAAACTTTCCAAAGATCAAAACTCAAGCCAAAGCACTTTGCCAGAGAAAACGACTTAAAATTTTTCGGGGCGACGGAGTTTGTTTACATAAATGTATTTCCACTTCACGCTTGTGAAGGCTGTTATCCGATCACATGGAAGCAAGCTATTTGACGCTGTTTAGCCTGTCGGCGTTGATGCGTGCTGGGGGGCTGTTACAAAGCTGAACGGGAATGGGAAAATTACACGCAAAATTAAAAATAGGACTTTAATTTTGTTTTTTGACATTTTATGTCTATTATGCGGAATAGTAATTTTTAAGTGACGGCTGTCTATACACCCACTTTAATCTCCCTAATCATTATTTTTTTATGTTAAGTTCAAGGGAAAATTACCGTATACAATTCACTACATCGATCTAAATTCAAATCCACGAGAGCCAAGACTATCTCAGTATCGTGAAACTTGAGCTTATGTTTAAAATAATACTTCATTAACGTATATGAATGGAATAAACGTTTCGCGTGAGAAACGTGTACGTCAGACAAAAGCCATCGTTCATAATAGTATTGAAATGCGAAAAGTCTCCTTCGTAAAAAAGCTGGGTTATTTTGGTTGCTAGATTGGTCCATCTCAACTATTTGATCTCCTCACCCGTTTAGGAAAGTTTCGTTGTCTTGGAGTATGTTGATGTGTTTTCACTTATTTAACTTCCTGTCGCAATAATCATCGCCCTTGCAATAACTATCGCACTTTATAAGTACACTTAACTCGCTTTTTAATAAAAAAGTTGTCGCACTTAATAATATAATCTTCGCTCTTTGAAATTACTGTCGCACCCCGGAATATTACTTACTTTTGCCTCACCCATGTACAAAGTTGTAAAAGACAAATTAAGTAAAGAACCACAACTGCTGAACCTGGCATGTAACAGGAAACCCTAAGCCGATCAACAAAGCCTAATTTGGAAATTTCACCACACGTATCACTAACTACAGATATCTAATTTCCGCCACGTTACATCGTCCCTTTCTTTTATTTTCCTTTTTTTTTTTCGGCCTGGCAGTTCAAGATAATACTTTTATAGTAAAAGAAAAAACTTTATTCTAGAAGAGGCGAGTACACGTTAATTTTGAAACGCTCTCAGTGTTTCACAACTCAACCCATGTGTTTCACCTGCTCCTCCTCCCTAAATAATTGCCATATCATGACACTTAACAAATGCCACACTAGACAATTTTCCCTCGGCACAATTACACTTTTTTTTTCATATTTTTCATATTTTTCGCTGCTGTTAGCTGACGCAACGCATTCAGGTGTTAAAAGTTCACTGGCCTCTATCATGTTGCTCCTGCCTCTCTTAGTGTTTTTTCCTTTTCTTCTTAACTTGATGTTTGCCATGCAAATCGATCTCCAACAAGCGATCTTTTTTCCGGTAACTTTGAGCGCGATCCCTTCTATTACTTGTGGGCAGAGGAACATTCATCATCCATGGTGAAAGATTAGTTGGACTGCGGTTTTCTTTGTGTTCGTGAACCAAATTGCTATTCGTTTAACATGGCAGTGTATCCTGACTCCAAAGGTGTTTATCTGTGTGAGCTGTTAGCCACAGTCAAATACAGAGAAACTGAAAAGTTTAATGCAAATGCAACCTTCCATCATTACAAAGCATTGGTAAGACATATTTCATATCTGGAAGTTTACAGATTTCAATTTTTCTGGATACAGAATAAATATTGTTATTGAGATGTTTACTTTCTTCTCAGTCTCTATATGAAAATGAAGCTTTCTCTGCAAGAACGGTGGTGTCTGTGTTCCTAAATATGAAAGGAACTCCTATCACTGTGATTGTCAGCCTGGATTCAGTGGAACTCACTGTAAACGTGGAGGTATTAAATTTACTCACTGTGAGCAGTTTATTAAATACAGTGCTATCATTCAATGCTCTTTCACAATGGTGGCATGTTCGGCTGGTGGGTATCACGTGATGACGAGAAGATGAAGTACTGGGGTGGAGTCGACTCTGCTCCATTCAAATGTGCATGTGGGTTGGACAACACGTGCGCGGCCACCAGTCACGGCTTCAACTGCGATAAGAACGATTGGAATTGGCGAGAGGACAGCAGCTTATTAACAAACAAGTCCAAGCTTCACGTAATTCAAATGAGGTTTGGAGATACCGGTCTCCTTGCGATGGCGATGAAAAGGAAATCACACGCTTGGAAAACTGGAGTGTTATGGACTTAATTACCGAGAAGTCACAAAGACTATACGTTGAACATCAAAAAGATTGCTTGAACACTGTACTCTCTTTGCAGAACTGAGTTAGGATGGAGGTCCATGATAGTTAAGAGAAATGTAATGAATTGGTAATTTGATTGTAATGTAGTGAGAAAAATGGAGAAATTCATAATGTGTGGTTAAAAGTATTTGCCCAAAATTGTAACCGAATGTCATACATGTTGGACAGCTCAAGTGCTTTGGACTCATTTAAGACTCAAATACAGGTCATTAACTTTTAATATATACTTGCTATAGTGATACTTGTATATCAAAATTCATTTGGTTTTGATTAATCAACATTGCTCTTTTACCGCGTTTGAGAATTCCAAGAGACGTTTAAGCAGTTCCCTGCAGTAAAAACCTGCCAACCTACTTCCAATTCGTCGATATATATATGAAGTAATTTGATGATGAAAAAATTTGTTTACCACAGAAAAGTGGAAATGACCAAGCCGGAAGTTATTCTGGCGAGAAAATCTTAAATAAAAGATCCAAAGGACCTCATAGTTGCAAACTTTCACCCCTATTTGAATCCAACAAAATACGCTGATTCTAAAAATGACTGTAAGTCTTGTATAAGCACTTGAATTCGAAGATAGTTATCTTTGTTGAAATGGCCCAATTTTTCTCTAAAACCAACTATATTTTCCTTTCATTTTCCTCTCTTTGGATTTCGAAAGCGATTAAATTTTTTGGCTAAGACATTTCATTGGACAGAGCCTGATGACCTCTCGTTGGCACCTTCTGCATTTCAATATATGCTCGAGAATTCTCAACACCACGAAACATCAAAATGTTATGTATTATGTATTTATTTATGTTATGTATGTATTTAAACATCTGTGACCATTACAGTCACCTTCAGGATAAATTATAATATATAGATTTAACCAAGCCTAAAGGCGGAGCTCGCATTTTTTTCCCGCACGTCCCAAGGGCACAACGCCTTGCCCCGGCCAGGACTAGAACCCAGGTCGTCCGACTCGGAGCCCAGTGCACTGACCACTGGACTACTGGACAAAGCCGTGGCGTTGGCGTGCCCGCGGTACAGTTGACCACGCATGCTAAAAGTAACACCTTGTACGGTCGGTCGTACGGTCGTACGGTCGTACGGTCGGACGGTCGTAAGTCGAAGTTTTTTCGGCTTGATGGGTTACTACTGTTACTACTACCATTTTGTATAATTATGGGGCTACACTCTGCGAGCTCCGCTATTAATATTCTTTGTCGCCTTCACTCCCCCCCTACCCATGGAGCCTGAAAAAGAAATCAATCGTTTCATTCTTTGAGTGAAGAGTTGTCCCTTCATTGAGACCTTCTTTTAACCTTTACTTTGAAAAGTCTTGTAACTCTAAATTACCTCCGTATATAAAAAATTATCCAGTTTCCATCAAAGTGGATTTGGAATATTGATTAATAACGAAGCAACAAAGTATATGTCATTTCTAACTCTTGAGTGACGCACTTTGTGATTAAAAAAAGCTTTCGCTCTATCTCATCGCAATTTGTTTTGAAATAAACTTTCCCACTTTGTAAAAAACTTGGTGTAGATGATCAGAAGGAAGGTAGACCTTGTCAACAATAATAATAATGAAAAAGTAACAATGGCTAAAAAGATATCATTGATTATCATTATCATTGTAATCATTAATATAATACCTAATATCATAATATTTATTACGCTACGTAATCATTAATAAAACTATCCTTCTAATTTTTATCATTTTGATTATTATCGTTGTTTAGCAATCGGTTCATATGTCAGCGTGCGTTCATCGAGAACGAACGCTGTGTTTTTGTGTGTAAGTTTTAAATGAGTCCAAAACCCTTGAGCTTTTCAAGTGTGTGGTATCCCTTGTCACCATAATAATAGGTATCTCCAAACCTCAGTTGTTTTACTGGCAGCTTGAATTTATCTTTGAGGAGGCCGCTGTCCTCTCGCCATCTGTTGTTACTCTTGTCGCAGTTGCATCCGAAGTTAATGTTTGCACATGTGTTATTCAAGCCGCATGCGCATTTGTAATCAACAGAATCAACTCCTCCCCAGTACTTCATCTTTTCTCCATCACGTGACACCCACCAGCCGTACATGTTACCATTGAAGAAGAGCACTGAGTTGTAGCACTCGTACTTTATAAACTGCTCACAGTGAGCTGATGAAGCTGTCAGGTTTGCCAGTTGAGCCATATCAGCCTCCGTGTACTTGATGGAGCGAGAATAAGAGCCTTTAGCAAGAAAGCCTCGCACCAACTTCCTGTCTTCACTGTCATGACTGAAAACTGTCACTCCAACACCGCCCTTGTCAGTCATATAGACTTTGAAAGGTTTCACTCCGCCCTTTCCATCAGGGTCGATGACGTAAGATCCACTTGGGAGATTACATAGTTTGATCTGACTGCAGGTCTTATCTCCTTGGAAGCAAAAACGAAGAAATTGATTACAAGTATATCTTTTTTCACGCGTTCTTAGCATTGGATTAAATTCATAGAGTTTTTATGGGGAGGATTATATCTCGCCAGAGAATTCATGTACAATGAAACTCATTAGCATGCTTCATATTTTCGTTGTAAACAATGATGACGTAGTGTGCGTATTGAAAGGAAGCAAACTGTTGCGTTAAAACTGCTCTAGCACGACAGCTGTGTGTTTATCTGGATATGAAGCTCTTAAGATGTATGAAGAGCTCTCAAGAGGCCATAGTTGTGAACACTTCAGTGAAAATGACCAATCACAAATAAAAATAAAGCTAAACCTTCTACAGATGTATTTTTCAACATCTGGAAAAAATAGACGTACACAAACCATTTTATACCTCCTTGTTTGCAGTGAGTTCCGCAGAATCCAGGCTTACAGTCACAGTGATAGGAGTTCCACTCATACCCAGGGACACAGACACCACCGTTCATACAAGGAGCACTTTCACATGGAGACTGGAAAGAGACCGAGAACGTTCCACAAACAATACAATTTCTATTGATAAAAATACCTTTCAATCACCAAATATGTAAGGAGAGCTTACCCAAGGACTGAAGTGATGGAATGTGGCATTTGCAAAGAGCTTTCCAGTAGCTCTGTACTTGTCAGTGACCAACAACTCACAAAGATAAAGACCGTTGGAGTCAGGATACTCTGCCACGTTAAACGAATAGCACCTCGGTTCACCAACACAAAGGAAAGCGCAGAAAAACTGACCTTTTACCATCGACGATGTAAGTTTTTCTTCCCAAAGGTAATAGAAGGGGTCGCTCTTAAAGTTACCGTGAGAAATTTCGCCTGTTGGATTTCGATAAAGAGCGCTGTTCTGCATGGCAAACATCAAGTTAAGCAACGAAGGGAAAAAATATTAAGAGTGGCAGGAGCAGCATGATGGTGGCTGTTGGACGACAACACCTGAATGAGCTGTTTTAAGATATAAAGCACTTTAATTGTGAATAAGAAACTTATCCTTTTATAGTATTTGTTTGCTTTTTATGATTAAAAGCCGCATCTATGGAGCAGGTGCAACGCATGTTGGAATTACGAGATTTCAAGAGCTGGCCGAAATAATGTGCAAAGAAACTACAATTAGGCGTCTGGTATGTCGGCTGATAATGTCCACGGCTGAGAAATTGTCCGTAAAATGAATCGTAGGCCGAAAAAAAAAGGCTTCGAGAAGAAATTTGAAATTTTGGGGACAGTCTCTCAGCCAAGGGTATTATCAGCCGACATGCCAGCAAGCTAGAAGGGGGGATATTTATTTTATAACCGTCACATTAATTTTTGTTTCGTGCGTTTAAAACACGTTTTTGTTAACTTTTTTGTACTTTCTAAAGTAGCATTTGAAATCAGCCTTTTATTATCAATACCTGTGGACTCTACAAAATAAGGTCGTTTTTCTCCCTTGTAAAATAATAGATTCGAAAAAATGAAACTCTCGGGCTTTTTTCGTCGGCTTTCTTGCCGGCTTTCTTACATGGGGTTATTGCTTGATAATTGTCCGTTGATTTTGTACCACGTCAAATATAGTAGCCAAGCGATAAAAAAGAATATTATAACCTTCTCTTACGAAAACAGAAATGACATTCGTAATGTAGAATGTACAAATTCCCGTCGAGCCCATTGCAGCTCTGTAACCTGTACAGGGCGTGAGCTACATTCTTTTAACTAATGTGGCTGACAATAATTTACCAAAAACGGTCAAGGTTTTTTTTTAAAGTTCACTAAAAAATATTCTTTAAAATAGTTTACCTACTACTCTATACCTGAGTAATATCATGCTGAGAATGTACCTTGTGGTGATAGTGGAGAAAGTGGAAAGGGGACTATTACAGATGATGAAGGGCAATTAACTCCATCTGGGACTTTGTCACGGCATACACATTTAGATGAGTTAGTGCTCAGAAATTTTGGCTATTATAGAACGTTCAATGCCAAATATACATCTACGGTAAAACTTCAAAAGGTCCCTGGTCTTTTTTGCAATAGTTGCAACAGGATGAATTGGTTTGACCTTGTAAAGATTGAGAATTGGAGTTGTAAGTGGATTCACTAGGTTAACAGGCTTAGAGTTGCAAGAATGAGAAGATATCTAACTCCTATTAATCTGTAAGCTGTATTTGCGCAGAGACAAGCAAAAGTGTAACAAAATACCCCCCCATTTCATAGAGTTCCCCTATGTTCCTTTTTATCTGCATGTGGTTTCCTTAACCAGGGCAAGTAACTAAGAAACCTTTCTTTGGTCCATCGACATTCATGACATGTTCCTTTTTTTTTTTTTTATTAGCTCCTGTGATGACCACCTGAGTCCCTCTGGAACTATTGAGCGAGCACGGCAACTGGTGGAAAGTGCATCCAGAAGCATTCTAGCCAATAGCGCTGCACAGAAGTTAGACAGAGACAATGATTCTGTATTTGTTGATAGCAGAAAGCCCATTGTCTCTAATAAAGGTATCATCTATATCTTTGAAACTTATCTGTAGTTTCAATTTATTTACAGGCAGCACAGCCTATTTTTCAGAGAAGACGTTATAATGTGATCATTTGTGAAGGTGAAAGTTTTAAGCAACTGTGTTTTAAAAGGTCCTTTCCCGTTTTAAAACTCCCATCGATATCATTATTATATTGTGGACGAGAAATGTTAATCGTTCTGCCCACCGCCCAAACTATTTTGAACCATCAAGCACTTTTGAACAATCAAGGCAATCTGTTATTTTCATAATCACAGGACACCAGGACATTTTAGATAATTCTCTGAGCATTAAACTCAGGGCAGGTGGAATGCCAGCTACCACAGCGCGCCTTGTAGAGGCCTGTGCACCACCTACACTTAACGAGAGTCAGGTAAGTATCCGTTCCCTCAGGCATCAGAGGCAAGTGAGCGACAGTGTGCTGAAAGATCTGAGAGATGATGACGACGATGATGATGATGATGACGAGATGGAAACAAAGTCAGTGGGGGCACCGAGTACTTTGCCGCGCCTTAGTCGACCATCTTCGATTGCCTCACCAGTCACTGGCTCGTCGAAACACAATACCTTGGTATGTTGATTTTGAGCCTTTCCAACCGCTTCACTTCGAAGAGCCAGGAGTTGGTTCTCCCAACTGGTTGCCACAACTTTGTTTGTTGGCTAGTTCTGAGAATTTGGCGTTTCATGAAGGCAGTGACCCATATTCATGATAACGTTTTATTACTCGTGGCAAAGAATACTTTATTTCGTTTATCGTTGAAGTATTAATCCCCATTCCTGACTCTAGTCATATCTTTGAAGTTTGGTACATGGAGAAGATGGTCACAAATCAAGAGATTTACAAAGAAATTTTGGATTGTATTTTTCAGGAACGTTCACATTCCATCCCCGGTTCGAAGCCTCCACTCATACGAGCTCTTGGCGCATATGAAGAGTACTTAAGTCAACATAAGAAAGGTGTCTTCAGACGGAAGAGAATATCGTTAGCCAGCATGATGTCTTGGTCAAAGGTATCTTTTTTTTTTACTAGTTTTTTTTTTTAGTAGCGGAGGAGCCGAAGGACAGCTCCGAGCTCAACATTTCACAGTCGCCATTAAGTGACTTAAAATGCCTTGATGTAATAGTCGCCAGAAATTTAAGTTAAGTCAACTGGAAAAAGTGAAGATATCAATGAATTTTATTAAAAGAAAGAGAAAGCCACGTGGCAATCGTTTTTGGACTTTTACGCAACAAAGAGGCAAATTTTTTTAATTAAAGAAAGTGGCTGAACATTTGCAACATTTTATGTTTATCTCAGTTTAACTCCAGACCATTTTAAACACTCAATTAAAATAACAGTGTATGTAGCTAGCTTCTTAATCGTCAAACACTTGCAGCGACGCGTACGTCTACTGCAGTTCTAGTTCTCATTATTTTTGTGCATGCTGTGGTGACCAAAACGTTGGTAGCCTGGCGCTGCAAAGGGGAGCGGTGAATTTTCTGTCAGAAATAGAATACCTGCAAGCCCAGAACGTATTCGTTAGATTGAGAGACTTTGAGGTCGCAGGGAACTAATATGATTCACAATTAAAATAGTTCTTCGAGAGAACCAACTGTTACCTAACTTCGCCCTTTTTTCATTGGCGTGTTTTTGGTTCGATTAACAGGTGCCAATCAAAAAACCATTGATCCTTATACAAGATAGGCAGTTAAAAAAGGACGCAATTGATACCTTTAAACTGATTCTTGGCTATATGGGCGATCGATCCATCAAAGGGAAAACTCCAGAGAGGCTGGCTCTAGAACTCACCACAAAGGGTTGGAACACTCCTGTATTACGGGATGAAATTTACCTTCAACTTTGTAAACAGACCACTGACAACTTTAGGCTGTAAGTACTTTTTAAGAAACTGGTGTTTTGGTTGGTATCCAACATAGCAGACCAATACCCAATCATGACAACGACCCAGAAATCAGAAGGGAGTTTAGTAATTAGTCGAAAATGAATATGCCTTTTTTTGCGAAACTTTTACTTAAGTTTTTACCAACGTCCATCTTTATAATGGAAACTGTATGCCGTAGGAATTTACTGGTGTGATTGGGTGTGGCTGGTCTACAACGATATTTTGTGGTCCTATCAACCAGTTCCGAATTAAGGTTGGCGCCTTAAGTTGTAGTTCTGTTGTGAAGTCGTCGATAGAATTTGTTCTTTTATTATATTTTATTTATTCACGTCTACATTCTTTTAGGGAGAGTTTGCGCAGTGGCTGGGAGCTGATGGCAATTTGTCTCGCTCTTTTTCCTCCTTCAACTAAGTTTTACTCCTACTTAGATGGGTATCTCAATAAAAACTTGGAGGACATCGAACGGAAAGAGGTCAGTCCTCGTAAAAAGAAAAATAATCGGTAGCTTGCGTTGCTGGCGGTTTTTCCGTCATTTGGTGAAAATTAAGGCGGCAGTTCAAAGGACGGAAGTGATACCGTGAGAACGACGGAAAACCCGTTTTGTAGTTTACTCCTTCCCATTCCTCTCGCAGCTTCCCTGGCTCATTTCTGCGGAAGCGCCGCTGAACCTCTCACGAAATCCTCAGATTTGGAAACCCCCCCCCCCAAAAAATAATAATAATAATAATAATAATAAAACAAAATACAACACAACAAAACAAAATTAGAAAAATGAAAAGAAAAGTTACAAATAAAGATCAACAATAACAACAACAATAAGTATCGATATAAGTGATGTTGACTTATATTGGAACAGAAACAACCTAACGACAGTTTCAACTTAAGCAATTCTCTAGTTTTACTTTCCTTTCTATTCCGTCCCATGCCCACGGCAGTTAGATTAGAAATCTCTCTTTTCAGTTTTCGCAGCCTCCAATTACATTGAGTCGGTTAACATTTGTTCACCATAATTATTTGATTAAATTCCCTGTTGTGTCTGAATGTTGTTTATTTCAGATCTCTTTAACATACTATATCAGGCATTGCTCCGTGAGACTCAAAAGAATGGCTAGAACTGGTGCCAAGCGCGGCCTCAGGAAACCAAGCATCGAGGAAATTCAACAGGCGAAGGTAATTCGGCGAATAAAATAAACCCATTTATGAAGAAGAGCAGAATATTTTAACTCAGCTCATCGTCGTTCGTGGGCACTTTGCATCGAGGCTGTTTGACTTCCTGTAACCAGCAACCGTTACTGCTGACCACATGTTGGCTGGCACAAGAAGTTTTAAGCATTCTGAAATAATTCTTGGGTCAAAGCATCGCGTATTACATTGTGGTGGTCCTAGCCTTTAAGAAAACAACCTTACTAGTTATAGGGATTACTTGAACCGATGAGAGTTTACAAGCGGAAGCGTTAGAAACAACAACTACAAAGCTGAATTGCAAATAAAAGACGGACGTTTTCTTTCGGAGGGAGAGAGGTATTCGTTTACATCTTTTTGTGGGACTCACTAAGCCTCCTAGTCTGTATTGAAAAAATCGCAGAGAAAAGCAAGAAAAAAAGAGGAAAAAACAAATACAAAACATAAAACGAAGGATGTATACGTGAGATAAGTCACATTTTGATCGTTGGATGAAGACCAGCAGCGAATTGATCCTGACTCATAGCGCTTCAGAGCTCAGTCACCAAAGTGAAAGCCCTTTTGTTTCTTCGTCATCATCTTCTGTATCCTTTAGGCTTTCTAGATGTCTTGTCTTGTCTTGGCTCTGAAAACTAATTCGTAACCCATCATTCACTTTTTAAAAGAAAATTTCTTTTATATGTATTTTATTTGTTTTTTTGTTTTTTTTTTTTATTCCCAGTCCTCCGTGTTCCACCCATCCATGTTTGGTGCCACCCTTGAGGACATCATGGAGGCGCAGGCCGAGCGTTTCCCTTCACTTAAACTGCCATGGATTTTACCAACCTTGGCTGAGTCGGTGCTAGAGCACCAAGGTGCTTCAACGGAAGGTATTTTCAGGTAAGGTAGAACGTCTTCGCCTTCATTTTCTTAAAGGGTCAACCACAGAGCCTGTGCAGCAGGTCTTTTTGTTTCTCCAAGCAGGAGAAGTGTCAGCGGAGCGGGAGCTGCTCGATACCGTGAGGCGAAAGCGACCCAAAAAGGCTACGAGCATATGGAAGGAGTAGGAAGGAAACCTTGTCGCTTCGCAGCACACGCTCTGTTCTCGCTTCTCACGCTTGGATAAAAGGAAACGAAATGGCTGCTACGCATGCTACAACAATAGTGTCGGTTTCGTAAGCGTTATATGGGCTTCTTTCAAATGGGAACCCGTTTACATCTTAGTCCTAACTTAAGAAAGTTGTATTTTAAATTGACAAATAATGAAATAAACAGCGCGCACGAGAACAGAGAGTGGCGTGAACAACACCAACTAGGTGACCGTTTTTCTTTGTCTTCACAGGGTTCCTGGAGACATCGACGAAGTAAACTCCCAGAAAATCAGGCTTGACAAATGGGAGGCTCCCACTGGAATTACAGATCCCCATGTACCTGCGTCACTTCTGAAACTTTGGTTCAGGGAGCTTCACGAACCTCTTATACCGGAACTGTTTTAATATCCTTTGAAATGAAATTAATTTCGCAGTGTTAAGTGCGCTGAGTCTTTAGTCTGATGCACCAACAGTGATTGTGGTCACGTGGGAAGTAGCACGCTGGACATTGAATCGAGAGATCTGGGTTCGAGCTTTGGCTAGTCATGGGTTATTGTATTGTGGGGTAATTGTATTATCGAATGAGTTGATAATGTAAATTGGCCGCCGTTAAGAGTTTCAAAGCTGACATTTCGAGGGTTAGCCCTTTGTCAGAGCGAAACTGAAGGATTAATGCTCAATAGGTTAGCTTTGAAACTCTTAACGGCGGCCAATTTATGTTATCAACTCAAGTGACAAAGTTAAATTACCTTACACTCACACCGACACAGCACTAAAGTTTCTTTAGAAACTTACGCCTTTTTATTAATTATATTGTGGTCTTGAACAAGGCGTTATACATTTATTATTAATGCCTGTTGCACGTCATGTTTCCTTGACTCGTTCCTACTGAAAGGTGCGTTAACAACTGTGATGACGCTACAGTGGCTGTGGCACTTGCGATGTCTCTTCCTGAAGTCAACAGACTCGTCCTCTCGTATCTCATTAGATTTTTACAGGTACGCATGTGTAGAGCCTCTCTAGACTCACTATTCTCTTTGGTTAATTTACGCTGATTTGCTAACCGCTGTGCATAATAGTTAAGTTATTACTTAAGATCATTTACCGAGCAAAGTGTGGGGAAAGAATTGTACTCTCCTCTTATTTGGGAAATAAGGTAATTTATCGGGTGCTCTGTGATCAAGGGTGACAAACGATCGAGACCACGACTGTAGCGCTGCTGCATACATGGAGTCTCTTTGTTTTCACTTGTTGGGTTTTTTTTTAATTCGAATTTCGAAGTTCGAAGGCTGGGCGTCCTAATCCTTAACACCGTTAACACTTGCATAGTTGAAAACATTTTATTTTGGAAAACTTTCAGCTTCCTTTGTTGTTTGCAGATTTTCTCACTCCCTCATATGTGCGTTATAACAAAGATGGACGTAAATAACTTGGCCATGGTTTGGGCGCCAAACTGCCTTCGTTGTCCCTCTGACGATCCCAAGGAAATTTTTGAAAATACGCGAAAAGAGATGACTTTTATGAGAACTCTTATTCGGCATCTTGACGCAACTTTCATGGAAGGAGTGCGTTAACACACAAAAACAACAGTTCGTAGTGCCAGTCCTTGACTGTGGGACACCGAGACCAAGATCACACGTGACAACGAAAAGTCTGACAACTGAATGAGCCTGCGGCTTTATTTCGCAACGTTGCTATGCAACGCAAGGTATTGGAATCCGACCTCGCGTCAGGGTGTTCAATAGCGTCCGTCAAGAAGAAACGGAACTCCTCGAATGCCCTTACTGAGATTTACCAGAACTCATGGCTCGATTGTTCGACTTGTCAAACTGGTGCTCAGCATTGATACGATTCGTCTGGCTGGGAAGTTTGCGCATGAAAATTTTGTTGACTCAATTGAACTCAAATTCAAAGGCAGAAAAGGTCAAAATTTACCTAGGTCCGTTAGCTAAAAAAATACAACTACAGAAAACAATAAAACAAAAATGAAAAGAAAATAAGAAGGATCTACAGAACTGCAAACTAAAGAACACACAGCAAGAGGTTATCTTTCCATTAAGCAAATTGAAGTGTCTAAATTATAGCAAACGTAATCTTCTGTTGTTAGTCGAAAACATCGCGGTAGCTTATGTGAAGAGGCGAAGTAAGCATTGTATATATCAATAAAACTCTAAGTATTGTATAAGATTATTGATGGAACACATGTATTTTTAATTTGTTTTCAGTGTCTTGGGTGCGGGGTGTGGAGGCTTGTGGGTACTCTTAATTGTGTGCGATACGTAGGTTTCCGTGACGTCAAACCGGTTATATTTCCTAGAGCAATTGCACAATTTTACTTACTTCAGTGATGAGTTCAATGCCTTTCCGGATAAACTCTGAATGTTATCACATGAGAATTTATGAAACGTATGTGGTTCATGAGAAACTTGTATGTTTTTTTGTATGATCTCAGGGTTAGGGTTACATATTACATTTGAACCTGAATTAAGCGGTCACTCTGTTTTAAGCGGTCGGTTGTCAGAGCCCCGAAATTGTTACCCCTCATTTACTGTAATTTTCATCTCTACTAAGCGGTCACCTCTATGAGCGGTCGCTCATAAATACATTAAATGGTCATTCATGACATTAAATAGCGATATTTATCGGTTCCCTTAAATTTTCCCCTTTGTGGAACCTGTATCGAGCGGTCAAGTTGTATTTAGCGGTCACCACGCCTAAATACGGGTTCTACTGTAAATGCTTTAAGAATAAATGCCATCGGCATGTGAAAACACTTATTTATTCAATTTTAAAAATTAAAGGATGGCCATCTTTTCGACTAGACACAGTTTAACACTTAGCCACTTAGGCGCGCGGTCGGTTCTTTTGAAATAAAAAATAAGTTGTCTTTTATGTAGGAATTTCATCAGTATCTATAAAATAAAAAGAACATAACATGGCCGCTTAGGGATACGAATTTTATCTTCGAGTGCTGAAAGTATCTCTCACGAGTGAGCTTCGCTCACTTGAGAGATGATGAATGAGAGATACTTTCAGCACTCGAAGATAAAATTCGTATCCCCAAGCGGCCATGTAATATCCTCTATATCTGTATGTAACAACGAAAATTTGCAATGCAAACGCACGAAGCATACTGCTAAATACGATAATTGACAGAGTGCAAGGTTTCCACCAAAGCTGTTTTGTTAATATCTAGTCTAAAGTGTAGAATGTTTTGTTTAATTTAAAAACACGAAAAAGAGAGTAATTTTTCATTCTCAACTTTGGTTTCAGTTTTGCCTTCCAGTTAAGAGATATGTTTCACCTCTAAAAACAAATAGAAAGGCTGAATGGAAAAAATACTTGCGAGAATGTAATTCAAAATATATTCGAATATAAACACGGATACAAGATATAAACTCAATTCACTTTGTATTTCGGATTACGTAACTTCGTGAATTGTTTTCCACAGAATTACCGGTGTATTTTTAATGCAAATAAAACGAAAAGCTATGCTTTCTTCATTCATGCTGGAAGTTAAATTATAAACAATTCATTTTTTACCACCTGTATTATTTTATGGCCAGTCTTTTTAATGACGTTTTATATTTGTTTTGATAGTATTTTGATTTTCGTTTATTGAAATTCTCAGGAGAGTGACCGAGAGCTCAGCGGCGGTTTAGTTAGAATAGGGAATTCGAATTATTTCTTGGCGCAATTCACTTAATTTGCTTACTTTAAACAAAGCGATTCTGTTCCAACGAGTTTCTCAGGCAGAAAAATCTTGATCCCCAAGTTTGTTGAAAACTACAACTGGCAGAAGGTTAGGAGACTGACAAGGCAAACGGCACTGGTTTGCGAATTCGCGATCTACTGCGATATTACATAAATCCGTTACTGATGATCAGGCTTTTCCTTTGATTTCACTTTGTGTGTTTTATTGTATTAACAGATCCCTTCCACACCATTGACAACCTCCGTTTCAAAACTACAAGCAGTAAAAATGGGCCTTCAACGCTTAAAGTTATGCTTAATTTTATTGAGAACGCAATATATGTTAAAACTAGGTTTTCTTTTCACTTTCCTACTCAAATGTATCCATCGATTTCCTTTGCGAAAATTTTCAAACCGCTTTTACAAATGTAAAGCATTAGAGTTTACAGCGATAGATGAGGCGAGTCAGCAAATAGCGGGTATATAGTTAAAGTGCACTTTTCAGTTTTTTTTTAAATGAGTCCAAAACACTTGAGCTTTCCAAGGGTGTGGTATCCCTTTTCAGAATCATCATAAGTATCTCCAAACCTCAGTTGCTTCACAGGAAGCTTTGTCTTGTCTGTAAGGAAGCCGCTGTCTTCTCGCCCTTTGTTGTCATTTACGTCACAGTTGCATCCGTAGTTAATGTCTGCACATGTATTATTCAAGCCGCATGCGCATTTATAATCAACAGAATCAACTCCTCCCCAGTACTTCATCTTCTCTCCATCACGTGACACCCACCAGCCGTACATGTTACCATTGTAGAGGAGCACTGAGCCGTAGCACTCGTACTTTACAAACTGCTCACAGTGAGCTGATGAAGCTGTTAGGTTCGCAAGTTGAGCCATATCAGCCTCCGTGTAGTTGATGGAGCGAGAATAGTGGCCTTGGCTACCAAATCCATCCACCAGCATTCTGCTTTCACTGTCGTGACTGACAACTGTCACTCCTATCCCGTCCTTGTCAGTCATGTCACAGAAGACTTTAAATGGTTTCACTCCGCCCTTTCCATCAGGGTCGATGACATAAGAGCCATTTTTAGCCTCAGGATTGCAGTATTTGATGTCACTACAAGTTCGATTTCCTAAAAAACAAATAACGAAGAACATATTAAGAAATTTAGAAGTAAAAGATTTCATTTATCTTAATATAATAATATGCCTGACATGTACACGAAATTATATTTTTTGCATTTTCTGATAGCTGCGTTTAAAAGTAGAAATAATCAACCTTTGCGCCTAGCAAGTTCTCCTTGACAATTTTTTTGCGCTTTGAAATTACGATTTGTCGGCCAAAAAGTGTTCTCATTAAGCGCGTGGCCAAAACGATCACGTTACATAGCTGTGACGTAGAAAACTGTGAAGATACGTCGGCAATTATTGTAAAGAAAGGAGAAATCTATAAGAAAGGACGAACGCATTGCGTGGCTGGAGCACTAAAAGATGTTTGCTACAAGAATAATACACATATACCGGGTATTTCTATACACTAATTTCCAAAGGATGTAGTTGTATGGCAAAAATGGACGCTCCTCGATCGTCTACATCGAGGAGATTTTACTCTTCAATGTCGTCGGCCTTATGCCCCGTGCCGGCTTCGAAAACGGCTGTTACGAACACATACCACTTGTTAAATCAGGGGAAGATAGCCAATAAATTTAGCTAAAAATAATGCCTGTTCCCACACCGCACACGATTGTTCAACATTCTTTTCGGCTGCAAGCGAAGAATGGTGAGCTCCTTATTGTTTTTTATTTCACGTGCTTGAGATGTACTCATACTCCTTGTCTTTTCACAGGACTACATTTACACTTTTCTAATCGTGGGAAAATCCTACTAATTGTATTTTCATCGTATTTTAATAACAGAAATATATTATTTGTAAGCAAGTTCAAGCCCTTTCCTGAGCTGACCGATATCCTGTTGCCTGAGCAGTGAGAAACCTCTGGCGCGGATACTGGTATAAACACAAGCTCGAAAGGGCTGTGTATTCTTCTAACCTAGGTTTCCGACGAGATAAATAAATAAACACAAATATAATTGAATTGGATGGTAGCGAATCCAAGCGCTGTACGAAAGTCGATGCATACGAAATATTTATTTACAACACAAATGTCAGTTATTTGCCATTGAGCGAAATGGATCACATGGCAATGCTGCGCTTAAACTAAATGAGTTTTCCTCTATTGAAATCCCTATTTGAGATTGACTTAAATCTATATAAACTCACTATTTCCCTTTTGATCGGCTCGAGGACGATAGCCTCTGCCTCAGCAATCTCTAAGGAAAGAAGCAACTTGCAGTGAAACTGCCTGATGACTTCTCGGCGGAAAGTCATCGTGCCTCATAGTACAGCTGATTCTTTCGTCAAAAGTTAGCTTTTAGTTTGCTAAGGGAATTACTCTACAGCAACGAAACACTTGAGCACTGAGCAAGGAGAACCTTCGCCCCACTAAGTGCAAAGGAATAAAATTTTAAGACGACCAAAACGGACACAGCTACCTATTTTTAAAATGGATTTCGCCGTAGAAAACAAAGCGCCAAACGCAACAACTAAACATTCAGTATCGGGAGTTTTTTTGTTCTCGTCTTGACCTAAACACCGCAGGCGAGAAACCATTTTGTCAGTCTTCGTCTAAATCTTCGTTTGATACACATGGTTCTCCTTCGTAGGGCTGAACCGTTCTCGCAACTTCCAATTTTTTCTTTACTAATTGGGTACGAAGTATCAACTCTTGGTAGAGCTTGGTGAAGGTAGGTATACATCGCTATCGGACAGTATTTCAACGCTGACTGATACAAAATTACAAGAAAAGTGAGAGATTTGCAAGTGTCCACTGAGAGCTTTCACAGTTTTCTACGTCATAACCCGCTAATTCGTTACCAGTCCACGGGACACTTTTAAAACAAAACAAGAGCACTTTTAAGCCCGAAAAACCGAGTTTGAAGTTATTTGAAATTTTGTTTTTTATCGGAATTGGTTTGAACATACGATAAGCGAAATATTTATGCAAAAAAAAATTATTGTCATAGGCGCTTTAAAGGAAAAGCCAAATAAGGTATGTTTATCGGGAAGGCAGTAAAAAAGAATAAAGAGGTAGCGTTAACCCAGATTGGTATCGATTGGTATCGCCCTCACGAAGGGCTAACGCTCGAAACGTCAGCTTTTTTACCCTTTACGGTGGCTAATTTACGTTTTCAACTCAGTTGTTAACACTAAATTACCTGCTAGGAGGTTTGATGATTCGAATGCATTTAATTTTATAGCACAAGGTTGAACATAGGTAAACCATCAATTTATAACAGGTGATTGAGAATAACAGTATGAGTTTTAAACGGTTAAGAATACATGAAAGTCATACATTTGAACTGCGGGTAAAGACGTGAATGAAAGTGATCACAAGTATGAGTTTTTTTTCAGTTCTTCATGCAACAGAAAGTAGGATAGATTCAATACCTTCCCTTTCGCAGTGAGTTCCGCAGAATCCAGGTTTACATTCACAATGATAGGAGTTCCTTTCATATTCAGGAACACAGACACCTCCGTTCTTACAAGGAGCGCTTACACACGGAAGCTAGAAACAAAATAAACATTCCTTGAATCATTCAGTTTGAATTCAAAAACTACAAAGAGTGTTTATCACTAAACATATGGAGAGATCTTACCAACGGACTGTAGTGATGGAAGGAAACATTTGCATGGAACTTTTCAGTTTCTGTGTACTTGTCTGTGGCCAATAACTCACACAAATAAACTCCTTTGGAGTCGAGATACGCTGCCATGTTAAACGAATGACACTTTGGCTCACGAAGGCAAAGAAAACCGCAGTCCAACTCATCTTTTACCGTGGATGATGAAAGTTTCTCAGCGCATAAGTAATGGAAGACATCACGCTGAAAGTAATCGAAAGAAAGATCGCTTGTTGGGTATCGATAGAGAGCGCTGTTTTGTGTGGCAAGCAACAATCCTAACAAAGAAGGAAAAAACAACAAGAGTGGCAGAAGCAGCATGATGGTGGCCGATGAACTCTCACCACCGGAATGAGTTGCTGTATGATACCGCAGACTTTACATTCAAATTAAAAAATAGGTCCTTTATAATTGCTTGTCAGTAATTAAGAATTAATAACCACATCTATGAAGTAGGTGCCATAAGTGGGATAAACTCCTTCTAAAGGGGAAGTAGAAGTGGAACAGTAAGTTTTAAAAAGTTTTCCTGAATAAAACTCTCCTACTTGACAAACCTGATACTTTTTTTAGTTTTTTTTACAAGAATTGCTTTCACACTGTTTTTTTTTTTTTTACTGAGGAAACGATGTCTATTGATGCCTTCTATACAAATAGGTTTAAACACTATTAACTATTCATATTTCTGTAAGAGGTTCTATTTTGGCTCGTAGCAGGATAACAATATATGAAATAAATTGACACTATAACTTGGTACCAACTACAAGAAGCTAATGTTGTTTCCTCTTACATTCATCTACGTCATGTCTGTCTGACATGTGGAGATCGGAAAACGTGCGAGCCTCGATTATGTATTTTATTTGCAAAAAAAGTCAGTCGTTTCATCTCTGTTTATTAGCATTTTCAATTAAACACTATACTGTTTTAAATATAAACATTGCAGAGTTACTCATAAAAATATTTCCACAAAAAGTTTCAAAAAGATATCCAAATAAGTAAACTTACATTTGCGAAGGTTGTTTATCGAACATGTTACAGAACTAGCCAAGAATAACATTTCACTTAAAATGGTCAGATGACTCGCTTAGGATAACTTCAGGTGCCATTTGAAAAAAGCCTGCAAACAGCGTTGAATTACACCTGTTCTGCTCGACTGAATTAAAAATATATTCTCCGCCTTATGTAGGCCTGAGATGCAAAACAACGGTCTGTTAGTGCATTATAATAACAGCAAAAGACACCTTGTCGGCAGGAAATACATTGGAGAGAACGAGCAATGGGGATTTTTCAGCGATAGCTGTTTAGAAGGATACCAATCAGGAACCAAAAAAATTATTTAACTTCAGTCAATATACCAGATCGTCGGAAGATCTTTGCAACCTCGTGTATTATTTAATTGCGCCTAAACTTGTTTAAGCGTCAAAATGTGGAATGCCTCAGCTTGCAGAAACACTAATTAATTCAATCCACTGTTATACAATAAAGGAGAAGGCGTCATGACTTTGGCGAATATTCAGATATTTTGACACGTTGTGTATCATGTTTAGAAAAGTTGATGCTATGATATTATATTTTTATGCCTTTCTTTTATCTCTCATTCCGAATGCGCTTTATCTTTGAAATTAAGTTAATCGAGAGGAGAAACTGTATAAACTGGAAAAAAAATGCAATTTTTATTTGAACACCTAAGTAAATATCGTCGCCAAAAAATGTATGGTTA